CTTGCAAGCAGCAAAGTTTCAGTACAATTCTAGGTCAATTCCCTTCTGGTCCTCCTTGCATGAGCTATTGCTGACTCTGCTTGCTGCATTTGTGACTTAACCTGTGCATACACAGAAACAGCAGAGCTAGTTGCTAGTTTAGTGAAGCTGCACTCTGTGCTGCACTCTGTGCTGCACATTGAAGACACCTCCAGAGATCTCTCTGCTTATCCTCAGGGCTCCCTTATGCTGTTCCAGTTCTCTGAATCTCTGCTGCTTGCAAGGGGCTGGACCAGACAAAGTTTTCATAGTCAGAGAGCTTGGATTCTAGGAAGACCCCTGTTCTTAGCAGGTGGGAGAAGTTGCATCCATGACTTCACTTTCTCTGCCTCCATCTGCCATATTCTGAACCTTGGACAAGAGATGAAGATCCTTTTATTTTGAGACCAGCTTGCATGAAGGTTCCTCTGCTCTGCAGTTGAGGCTCTCCACACAACCAGATCTGTCTCTCACGGTAGTCCTTCTTTCAGCTCAGAGGCAAGCACCCAGAAATGCCCGTTGTGAGAGGCTTCAGGGAATAACTCACATCTGTATGTCCTTGCTATATCTCTTGCAGTTGCATTACACTGCTTAGAGAGGCAGAGGAGCTGCTTTCTCTGTTTATGCCAGCAGTGAGTGTCTATGAAGCAAATAGATGCATTTTACTCTAATTCATATAGCACACTGCATATTCTTTCATGAGATGTGAATGCTCCCAGTTCTAGGGTTGTACATCTCAATTATCAGAAGCTGTCTAGGAAATGCTGTCCAGTCTGAAAAATCTTGTGCTGATTGCCTGCTGCAAGCTGGTAAGCAGAGATCTGAGGAGTGCTTGCAGGGATATCTGTATCCTACTCCAGAAACTCTTGGAAGCTTCATAAAAACATCTCCTGAATGTTCTTTGTTGGAAGACGTGGGAATAACAACCGCAAGGTCCTAGGACTTGGTCTTTGAGAGCTGGGTGAGGGGACAATAGGGCTAAACTCATTCTTTGCATCAGCTGTATGGTTAGAAACATATGGACGCTAGTACAATCTGCAGTCCTTTCCAACCCCTGCCATTCTGTGATTCCCTCTGGTCAGCCCCTCTGCTCCACCTTCAGCCCTGAGGAGTAGACACGGCATGCAATAATACTGTCTCTCCCAGGAACACATATGGCATTGTGTCTAGCAGAACAAAGAGTGGAGGGTGGTCAAGACAGATGAAGTACCACACTAGGAGTGAATAAATCAACCCCGTCCTTCCAGGAAGGTAGAGGGAGGACAAGGAGTGACTGGAAAACCTGCTGCTTAATCAAAAAACAAGGAAGAGACTTGTAGCTGTAGATTGATGTCCCTTGTGCCCTGCCATGCAAGCACAGGAGCTGAGTGAAGAGGCTGGACCAGGAAAAGGGAAAAGGTCTACCAGTGGCTTGTGACTGGTTCCTGCATTGTCCTGAGAGCAGTGGAAGGGCAGATCTGGGTGAGCTGCATGAAGACCGTCTGTGCTGGGGATGTGCTTGGGAGAGAAGTGTCTCTGTAGTCCTTTTAATACCTGTACACCCACCTATGCATTTGGTATTTGGCCTGCATTTATACATAACACAGCATTTGGTGTGTTGAGAGCTCTGATAGAGAACTTTAGGAATGTTGACCTCTTCCCTCTGCAAGGATCTTCTTGTAGACACCATAGCTTGCACTGTCTAATAGCTGAGATCTGTCATAGCCCTGGCTGTGCTGTTCTCATTAACAGCCAGCTGGAAGATTGTCTCTTGCTGAGGAACCACGTCTTGTCTGCTGCATGGCTTGTGGCGGGCAGGCTGTACACACAGGGGCTTATTTTACTTAGTGAAAATGTGAGCTTTTTCAGTTGTAAATCATGAGGTTTCAGTATGATTTGATGGCACTGTGCCCCTGTTTTTCTCCAGTTCAGCCTCCTGTTCAGAGCAGGACTATTTTGAACATTAGATCAAGGAGGATACGGCTTTGTCTAATCAAGTCATGAAAGGATTTCCAGGGATGGAGACCTATCACCACTCGAGCAACCTCTAGTGTGGAACACTCCTCCACATTCCTTCCCAACGAGTTTTTCCTAGTGTCCATGTGTCTGCTTTTTTTGGGATCAGTGTTGTCCTGGTTTTGGCTGGGATAGAGTTAATTTTCTTACTAGTAGCTGGCATACTGCTATGTTTTGGATTTAGTATGAGAAGAATGTTGATAACACCCTGATGTTTTAGTTATTGCTCAGTGGTGCTTACACCAGTCAGGGACTTCTCAGCTTCCCATGCTCTGCCAGGTGCACAAGAAGCTGGGAGGGGGCACAGCCAGGACAGCTGACACCAACTGGCCCAAGGGGTGTAATCCATATCATAGAACATCATGCTCGGTATATGAACTGTGGGGAGTTGACCAGGGGGCAGTGATCGCTGCTCGGGGATGGGCTGGGTGTTGGTCAGAGGGGGGGTGAGCAATTGCATTGTGCATCACTTGCTTTGTATATTCTATTATCATTCTTATTGCTATTCTTTTCCTCTGCTGTTCTATTAAACTGTCTTTATTTCAACCTACGGGTTTTACTTTTTTTTCCCAGTTCTCTCCCCCATCCCACTGAGGGGTGTGAGGGAGTGAGTGAGCATCTGGGTGGTGTTCAGCTGCCTGCCGGGTTAAACCACAGCAAGTGTCTCCCACTGTACCAGATGCAGTCTGCTGATGCTGCACCTATTCAGGCTGGTTTTCACCATATTTTATCCAAGAGTGTTTTTCTTTTAATCATGTCAAGAGGGACACTGTTCCACTGGGATTGTATTTGCCAATTTTATGATATTCCCAGTCATCTCTTGCCCTGCTGTCCAAATTGTAGGTGCTTTGAAGTCCATTCCTGTGGCAGCTGAACCTTAATTCTACAAATTGAAATAGGAGAGAGCTGTCTTTTCTAAGCACGGACTAATCTTGGACATTTAATTCCTTCTTTTATTTCCTTTATCCCTTACTCACTGTTAGCATTTTACAGGTAGTCTGCACAGGATGTCTGTATCTTGCTGTGTGTTCCTGCTCTCTGTAGAAATGACACTGCAGTAATGAATATCTCCTGTCTTGGAGATGGGAGCTCCTCCTGGAGAGGAGCCTTGAACCTCCAGACCACACACTCCCTCCCACCTCAGGAGCAGTTAGAGCTAGAATTGCCCTGGAGCCAGGCAATTAATTTCCTTTTGGAAAGAGAATGTTCCTGCTGTAAGCTGTAATGAGCGTGAAGTTGTTTGAGAAAGCTGCACCTCTAGGACTGTTTGGGGAGCTACCCAGTTGCATGTAACCTCAGCTTTCTTTCTGCCTTTGAACATCCCTTCTTCCAAGATTAGCTTCCCAGGATTGCTGCTTTCTTTTTCAAATAACTTGCATTTCTTTGTTTTTGTTTGGGATAGCTAGCCCTCATGGTATCAGAGATCCTTTGCACCTAATGTTTTCTGCACAAGAAATTTAATTGGCTAAGAATATGGACAAATGCAGGGCTAACATAGGTAAAACATGCCAAAGTAAAGGTGAGCAACAAAAATGACTGTGAAAGCCAGGACTGATTTTTTACAGGCAGTGTATTTGTCCAAGGTGGGGTTGCCTCTGAGCTGTGCCAGTAGACTGGGAGGAGGCAGAGAATAGGACAGGACTTGTGTCCTAGCCCACATCTTCCAGTGCGACATGGGATGTGAGCTTTGTGGATCTTTGTGTTGATGGGTGCTTGTAAAGGTACTGTTCAACTGCCCAGGATCAAGCAAGACAGATTCCTGGCATTTAGTAGTCATCCCAGCAGGACACGATACTGTGCCAGTAACAGGGACATTTTGGTTTAGAATTGCTTAGACCCCTGCTTGTCAGGTGACGATGACTTGTCTTCCTGCCACTGAGTGCATGCTTCCCTTCAAACACTTACCCAGATGAATGAGCAGTCTGAGTCTTCCTGTAACTGAAAAGCTGCTTGGTTGGGTTCCTCCCTCAATCTGGAGTATCGCTGATCCAGCATCACTGATAATACCGTTCACCAAATGCACATTAAACGGATCAATATGGGGCAAAACTGAGCCCTCTCCCAGTCTTTGCCCATACTCCCTGCTGATTGTGTGGGGCTCTCTTTCACCCATAGCCTTCTTGCCTGATCTGCATTTCTTTTCCTTTGGGCAATAGGATCTTCTCCACTGTCCCTGCCATGTGCCTTTTATTGTCTAGGTCCTGTGGAAAGAGCAGGAGTCAATAGCCTGAATTGCCTTTTCTGCCCACCACTGGTAGTTTCCTATTTGAAATCCATTGCATCAGTTCCATTAAGCTTCACTGCTCTCTGTGGGAAGGAGTTCTTGTGTTTAGCATGCTTTATGTATCTCATTTAAACACCATTTAAAATGCTGTCTGTCAGAGGGCTGTGGTGCAGTTGCAAACCCGACATGCAGAATGTCATTGTCAGTGGGAAGAAAACACAACAGATGACTGTGTAACTATTCCTGTGATCTCTCAAGCCTCTTTTTTCCCTTCATATGAACAAAATTAGGTTTGGTTTTGGTCCTAAACCACCTGAAGGCTAAATGATGCATGCATCCAGACTGTCTCGTTCACTCGCCATCTTTCAGGCTTTCCTCACCCACAATGTTGTATCTTTTCATGCTTCCCGAGCTCTGCGTTACCGGGATTCATCTCCTCTTAAACTTGCTGCCACATGGCCCTGCCGTAGGGACTGCTGGTGCACGCCCAGGTCAGCTAGCTCGCGATGGAGAGAGACGTCTTTTCTCCCCTGCGCTCTCCTCTCTCCATCAGAAACGTGCAGTGGGTGCAGCGATGGGTCATGCCAAAGGCGTGAAGACTGGCAGAGAAAAAATGTGGCTGCCACTTGCTGGCTGAGGGTTGGTGCGAGAAGGTCAAATGGGGAGAGTGAGCCTGTGCTGGGGTTTGGGGAGTGGGGGTGTGCAAGCCTTGCTGGGATGGCTGGTCCTTATGTCACGGGGCCTTGTGTTTCTCCCCTTGCAGATGTCGTGGCACCCACAGTACCGCAGCTCCAAGTTCCGCCACGTGTACGGCAAAGCTGCCAGTAAGGAGAAGTGCTATGACTGTGTGCCCATCACCCGCAGCGTCCACGACAACCAATTCTGTGCCGTCAACCCCCACTTCATTGCGGTGGTGACCGAGTGCGCAGGTGGGGGAGCCTTCCTCGTCATTCCCATCCACCAGGTGAGCTCTGCCAAGGAGAGCTGGCTTTCGCGAATGCGTCAAGAGGCTGGAGTAGAACTGGGCTTTCTAGGGAGCTCGATCGCACAGAGGATGTTCAGTTAATGCTGCTGCCTGAATTGCAAAATGAGGGAAGGGGCTCCCAATGTCCTGGCAGGTGATTTCTGGGTTGTGTGTGCTTACACGTCTTACATTGCTGCTTGCAGTTTTTTAGCACCTCCCTTCATTTCATGGCTCATTTGCCTTTCTTGTATAACCAGCAGGAACTCTGCTGTTCAGATGTTTGTCTGCTAGGAGAAATTGCAAATAAAAAAGCAGTTAGTAGATACAGAGGGCAAACCCCATGCTTTAGTGGCATGGCTTCAGCTGTGACTAAAGGAGAATATGGTATGTTTTGCTCCACCTTCTCCTTTGTGAAAGAACGGAGATACGGTTATCAGGCAATGAAGCTCTTAAGCTTCAAGCACTGGTGCTGGAGAAACTTCCCTTTTGGAAACAAATCCCATGTTTATGGGTTTTGATGACTTAGGGATCTGGTGAGAGGGAGAAGCTGGCTGTCTGATGTTTATTGCTTCAGAAAAATTAGGCATGCACTAATGCGGATTAACTTCAATATGAGATTACGAGCTCTCTGGAATCAGGGCAGAACAGATGAAAGGCAAAAGTTCAGCCTTTAATTAAAAGTTAATTGATGGTGTTATTGCAGTGCCACTTTTTCAACACGTATTTTCTAAGTATGAAAGTGAACCAGCTATGCTTAAAGAACCTAGCACAGTTCCCTGCCCTTCTAGGCTTTCCTTCACTGGTGGTGCTGTTCAGAGATGGTCCTTCTAAAATTAACCACTACCCTGTTTTTCTTGACTGAGTCGCTTCTGCCCCCTCGACCATGATCTGTTGAGGCTGAAGAACTTGTCTTTATCATGGAGCTGCATCTGTAAGCAGGCAGCTGGTGACTGTGGGACATAGGGTGGGACCCAGCTCTCAAAGGGTTGGCAAAACGAGCTGCAGGTGCTTGCACTGCTCACTATTAATCCTTCTGTGTTCTCACCTCTTCTCAGCTTGGCTAATCTTTAGTAGCAATTCTTTCATTCTTAACCACCTGCTCGGATAGTCCACCCAGATCTGAAATACTGCTTGCAGAAGTCAAAGGCATGGTAGAACTAGGAGATACAGAAAAGGATAGTTAAAGTATGTCAACGAAAATGTGAAATTACTTTTATGAGAGGAAAGACTTTGTGGGTTAGGCCTCAATCAGTCTGGGAAAAAAGACAAATGAGCGAGATATACAAAACTGTGGGATATACAAAAAGGGTGGGGAAGCAGTTCTTCTTGATTTGTGTGGTGAAGGGTATCTTGGAGACCAGGGAGCAGACCATTAGCAGCAGATGTGAACACTTTTGCAGTTCAGATGTGGAGCTCACTGCTCCAGATGGTGACGAGCCCAGAAGAATTAAGGGGTTCAGAACAGGGTGGAGTTATTGGAGAGGAGTTGGTTTATGAACTGTATTTGTTCAGATGCAGGTCCTCTTGTGGATTGACCTCAGGAGGTGCCTTGAGGGTTGACCTTTGGTGGTGGGTAATGGATAAGGTCTGTATGTGCTGCACTTCTCCAAATACCTGTTCCTCACCCATGCCGGGGGGGAAAAGCGGCCTCAGAAAGGGGTTCCTCAAGTTGGAGGACTGCGATACCAGTTACTTTTTTTCATGATACGCTTACAAACTGGTGCCACCTGGTGAAAAGCATCAGTATTTGACTTGTGCTCACTGTGGTGGTATTTGTGGCTGCCATCTCCCGCTGTGGTGGTGATCCATGGTAGACAATGTACTGGGCCCTTGGCTTGTGTCCCTGGCTGCCAGGGGCTGGTCTGGAGACATGTGTCTAGCACAGTGTTGCCCTCTCATGATGGACAGCTGATCCGTGGTTACTTTTGACTGGATTCCCAGGGAGCAGCCACATCCCAAGCATGCCATAGTGTGGAGGAAAAGCCCAAGAGACAGGATGTCATGTTTAGCCAAAGCAGGAGATGATAGCCAGGACAGGGAGGGCTGCACTTTCCGGGGAGGATGAACAACCTACTCGGGGAGCTGCTCTTGTCCTTCCATGCTTTTTTGAGTTCCTTCTGCATGTGCTACTGGAGGGGCTGCCTGCCTCAGGATGCGCTCAAATGCAGGCTCAACCTCGCTCTGTTTCACCATGCCTCCTTGCTTGTTTGTTGTGCTCCTCTCCTGCTGAGTCATGGACACCAAGCTCTCTCCTCTCTCCTTGCATAAATACTGCTTCTTGCCTTCTGCACCATTCTTCCTCTCTGAGAGCCTGGGGGTGAGGTAGGGTTGGGAGCAGTGGGGGTTATGTGGGGAAAGAGCTCTTTGCCGTAGATACCCTTCCTTCATCAGGCCTTTGCATTCAACCTGAAGAGGAGTTAGTTGAATATTTGCCCCCTCTTGGAGAACGGTCTTCTTTTGGAGGCTATGTCAGTTAGGTCCTCCTGAAGATAGAATCATAGAATGTTTGGGGTTAGAAGGGACCCTTAGAGGTTATCTAGTCCAACCCCCCTGCAGTGAGCAGGAACACCGCTAACTAGATCAGGTTGCTCAGAGCCCCGTCCAACCTGGTCTTGATGTTTCCAGGGATGGGGCCTCCACTCCCTCTCTGGGCAACCCCTTCCAGTGATTCACCACCCACAGTGTAAAGAGTTTTTTCCTTATATCCAGTCTAAACTTACCCTGTTTTAGTTTAAAACCATTACCCCTTGTCCTGTCACAGCTGGCCCTACTAAAAAGATTTTCCCCGTCTTTCCTATAGGCTCCCATTGTGCCATTGAAGCCAGCTGGGTGGAATGGCAGGACATCTCATCAGGGAGGGAAGTGGCTGTTGCCACAAGGGCTGCCTGGTGCCCAGAACAGACTGAATGCCTTTATAAATCTTGCAAGCCCGAGCACACATGGGCTCAGTGACTGTAACTGGAAGATGAGCTGCTTTCCCAGTGTGGCCTGGGTGTAGATTTGGTGTCTGACACAGACGTGTTGGGGAAGTGCATGCACCGCGTGCCAGGGAAGGATCTTGACTCAGAGGCAATTTTGTGGCCTTCCTTTGAAAGACAAAGGCCTGCCTTTTTCCTTCTCTGATGACGGAGTTTGGTTGAGACTGCATCTGTGTCTTCCTTTGCAGCATAAAGCAAAGGGATAGCAAAATGAGAACAAAGCCCCGAGAGGCAGGGAGATATTTGCGTCCAAGTCTTTGCAGTCTCCAGTCTTCCAGTGTGTCAGCACCAGGTGTGAGAGGGAGGACATCTGTGGTTGTGTAGACCTCCTAGATGCAAAGCCTGCTCCCTCCTCTCTGGGGCAAGAACTATGGAATGAAACCTGCAATGACCCCTCAGGCTTTACCTAACTGATGCTGTATATGACTGCTATGCCATGATGGGATGACAAGGTGTGTTAGTGCCCTTTGGAGAAAATCTGAGAAGTGGGGCTGACCTATCTCATGGTAATCTACCCTGTACAAATCTGCTGGGAGGGTTTTAACAGCTGTCCCACTAGAAGTGGTTTTCATCAAGGAACTCCGAGTTTGGCTACTTTTAAAAAATTCTGGGATTTTAGAAGGTGAGTGGTTGAAAAATTACTCATTTTCAAGCTCTGCAAATAACTGTGGAAGTCAGGTACCTCTGCATGAATGACAAGTCTGGTTACTGAAATAGTTTTTGATCTGTGGAATAAAATTTCCCTCACACTTGAATACCTTTACTTCCACATATAGATGTGCATCTGAGACCGACAGCCCTACTTGCCATATATGGTTTTTGGCAGCCTGGGGGTCCATGTGTTGTGGGTCCTGCTCTGTCCCAGGGCTGCAGGGTTGCACTGGGGCTGGTGGGACTGGTGACCGGGAGGGCAAGGGCTCCTCTTCCAGGGCAAGCTGAGCCTGCTGGGGACGTGGTGGTAGGAGAGACGACGTGGTGGTAGGAGACACTTGCAAGATGGGGCAGGCAGAGCGGGCTCAGGGCAGCCTGGGAGTCTCCCAAATGGGGTGGGGAGCAGACAGGCAGCCAGCTCTGGGAGGGGATGGAGTTCCCATAGGGATCAAGGGATCCCTGTGGAGCTGGCTGCCCAGCCCGTTGAGCTGCCAGCTTGAAACCAAGCCCTGAAACCTGCAAAAGGATAACCGTGGGCAGGGGAACGCTGCTTATTAAAGGCCTTTTCTCTCTTTTCTGCCTTCCCAAGTCACTTTGTATTGTTGCTGTTACAAAAGGGAATTGTTTTAGACTGTAGTCTAAAAAAGCACAGTCTTTTACATTTCAAAGTCCTCTGGGTGTTCAGTTAAAGCAGGTTAGTCCCAGTCTATGTGACAAACTTTCCAGTGAAGCCAGAATAGTTACACATCATGTCCTGTTCTGCATTCAAAGCTGTACAAATTTTCAAGGCTGGGAAAATGACATCCTAGCTACTTCCAGGTTAGGGCCAACACTGATTCCCTGCTGGTGTGCACTCTTAGGGCCCACCTCTGGAGAGGTGCAGGGAGTACACCCACAGAAGGGTCTGCTCTCCAGGCGAGCACACGTTTGTGTTCATTTTGATTTACGGTTCTTCCAGGTGGGATAAACGCAAGCAGGTAAGCGTCACCAGCGTGCCACCATGTCTCTCTCCTTAGATGACTTACTGTTGCTCTTGGAAAGATGTCTGGGATGCTGCTTCAATGTTAATAAATTCCCCAGCACCCTTCCTAGCACATAACAAATACATTGACTTGACTTTGTAGCAGACTGTGCCTGCAGTATGGGTTTATCCTGATGCAACACAGCCCCCATGTGGCACAAGGCCCTCAATACTCCTTGGTGCACTTTGTGCAGGATTTTTACCAGTGAAGGTGCCGCCCAAACATGGCATTTTTTCTGAGAGTCCGTAATGCTGATTGAATCTGGTGAATGGACGGATTTGTACACTATCAGGGAGAAATAGGTAGCTTGTTGAAAGAAAAACTGCACTTGTATTTGGTGTCACAAATGTCTTTTTGTTTAAAAAATAAATACTAGCTGATGAGGCTAAGAGATAAAAGCTAAAACATTTTTTTTCTGCTTGTAAGAAATCTTGTCTTAAAGAGATTATTTTTTTTCTCCCAAGGTCTTTAAAAAATGAAAAGATTCAACTAATTCTTAAGTGTTTCCCCTCTAGTGTCTGAACCAAACACTGTCTTCTAACTTCAGCAGTCTTGCTTGCTGCATGTTTTACAGATTCCTTGATAGCAGTGTGTACTTAGGAAGCCCTGAGCTCTTCTTTCCTTTCTTTTTGGTGGTATCATTGAGACTTGCCTTGCAGGGACAGCAAAACCCCATTCTCTACAAATAGGGAGCCCCCAGGGCATTTGGAGCATAACAAGCAGAAAGAGGTTTCTTGCTGGAGCTGGCTTGGATCTTCCTTGCAAATGTCCTGCAATTCCATGGCTCACCTTAGGTGTGATGATATTTGTTTTTTTCAGACAGGCAAGCTTGACCCACATTATCCCAAAATATGTGGGCACAAAGGGAATGTTCTGGACATCAAGTGGAACCCGTTCAATGACTTTGTAATAGCTTCATGTTCAGAAGATGCCACAGTAAGTTTATCAGCTTGTACTCTGTATTATTACATGGCTAATGTGCTTTTTGGGGAAAGGAGTAAAAAAGAACCTGAAAGGCCCACGGATGAGATGTGGAAGCATACATATACTTACAAAAAGGTCAGGTAAGAGTAAGATTCTTGTCTTTCTCTTGAGGTCAGACCTGTGTGATCCCTTTCAGATGATGTACCAAAATCACTTTGAGGAGGAAGATCTGTTTTGTGTGGGCCTGCATATTTTTGGGTGTGTTTGCATGAGAAAAACAGAATATGAATTTAAAGTTGAATGACTACTCAAGTGTAATCGCTGTGAAACTCCTCCTTTACTTTAGAATAAAAGCTTCAACACAATATAATCTGGAACAGCTATTTCAGACTAACTCCCTGCAGAGCAAGTCTGACCTTGTTCCTGCACTCAGTTACTCCGTAAAATCATGCTGGATCAGTTATGGGGTAGCTGAGGAATCTGCGTCATACTATTTTGCAAAAGAAGACAGCAGAGATGCAAAGGTCCATGCTAATGCAAACCTGTAAAAAGGTATTCAATACATTACATCAGGTTTAAGTTTTAGGCAATAAGTGGTTTGACTGAAGTTAGTATAATTAAGATGCAGTCACATGTTTTATTTCAATGAAGGTGCAGACTAGTTATTAGGAATTGAAAGATTCAATTCATGTTTGTAAAGGACAGTTTAGCTCATATCTACCCACTGAAAGGTGGCTTTCCATGTCCTGTCAAAAGTGTGATGTCGGTGAAATTGAGGACATCTAACTACTGTACTTTTTTCCAGAGATCCCACATGTGTTTTCTCCCTCTAGGTATATTCGCCCTCTGCCACACAGCATCAGGGAGGTTTCCCTTGTAATTTCTTCCAGCCATGGCTTGGTGCACATCCTCTACCATTTCAGCGGTGCCAATAATCACTCTTGAATTGAAAATCTAGGCTCTTTGAATTATCCTTCCTGCTTTGTGACTTTCCTTTGCTTCTTTGGATATTCCTGTCTATTTTGAAGGCATCTTTCAATTTCTGGGCTGCCTATGAGGGTTTATTTTATCTTCCAACCCATATGCCAAGTTTTCATCTTGTCTCAGAAAGGACTTGTGGCAGGAAGGCACCACCATGACCTCTCTTTTGAGCCTCAGGTGAGGAATGAGCACAAACTTCAAAGCTTCCTTCTGTAGTTACAGAATCACAGAACCATTTGTGTTGAAAGGGAGCTTGGGCTGTGGAGGTCTGTGGACCTGAGTCTTGAAAACCTCCAAGGATGGAGATTTCACCATCTCTCTGGACAAACCGTTCCTGTTCTTTACTGCTCCTGTAGGGAAGTTTTTTACTTATATGCAGTCAGAACCTCCCCAGTGTAGTTAGTGATGCCTGGCTCTATTTTCTCAGTAATCTTCTAAGTATTGAAGGCTTCCATCAGTTCACCCTGAAGCTGTCTCTTCTCCAGGCTGATCAAGGCCATCTCTCTCAGTTTCTCCTCACAGGCCAAGTGCTGCAGCCTCCTGAGCATCCTGGTGGCCTCCAGTGGACTCACTTCAGTTTATCAGCATCTTTCTTGCATTGGGAGGTGCAAAACTGGATGCAGTAATCCAGCTATTTTTTAATGATTGTTGAGTAAGGGGGAAAATAGCTTCCCTTGGTCTAGTGTCTATCTTCCTGTTGTTCCAGACTAGGAATTTGCTAGTTTTCATCCCTGCCAGGGCATGCTGCTGGGTCCTATATATTCTTTTATCCACCAGGACCCCGGGGTTTATGCAGAAAGGCTGCTTTCTGTCAGCTTTCTTTTCCAATTCCCTGCTGAAACTTGGCACTGGATCATTCTCCAGGCTAAAGAATGGAAATACTGAGCTTGTCACTGGTCTCAACACCAAAAATTGTTCTAAAAAGTCTTGCTGTTCGTGGCTGTACTCTCTTTTTTGGAACTACCCTCCCATCATCATCCTGGCACCCGGAAATGGTATCTTAGGGGTCTCCTGCACAGTGACACAGTGTAGGGACACCTCTTCCCTCCCTGCTAAGTAGTGAAGACAGCAGACTGTGTTTCTTAGTGTGACTGTCTTTCCTGGTACCTCGTAGCTAGACCTGTGGAGGTCACTTAGCCCAAGCCCTGCTCAAAGCAGGCCAGTTGAATCAGGTTGCTCCAAGCCTTGTCCAGATGAGTTGGGAAGATCTCCAAAGCTGCAGATCCCTTGGCCTCACTGGGCCCTTCTTCCAGGGCCTGATTACTCTTCTAGGGAAAACAGGGCTCCTCTGATCTCCAGGGAGTGCCCATGTTGCCTTTTGTGTCCATTGCCTTTGGTGGTCTCTGTGTGAGCACCTCCGAAGAGTCTGGTTCCATCTTCTCTGTGCCTTGCTGCAATATAGTTGAAGGGCAGCCAGAAGACCTCACCTTTGCCTTCTCACTCCTGGACTGAACAAGTTCTTTCCTTTCCAGCTCTCCTCAGATTTGCTGTGCTCCCATCACCTCCTCGTCTCAGGAGGCTGCTGTTGGACTCACTCCATGGAGTCAACATCTGTCTTACTTGTCCGGGCCTGTACTGGGGAGATCGGATCAGACATACTGTTGGGACATCTCCACAGCAACACTTTCTCTGTCCTGAGAGAAGTCTGAGGAAGTTTTTGGGGTCCCAGACGTATCCACCACTTCCACTGGGCTGGGCATTAGAGCCAAAGCCTTCCTTGAAGTCTGCTTTCAAAGGCCTGGTTGCTCTCTGCCATTTCTGAGCATTAACATAAAGCACTGTTCTGGTTTTTGTGCAAGGATGCATCTGATTGCTCTTACTGGGCTGGGTCTCCCTGGAACTTTTGAGGAAGACCACAGGCTTCTGTGAAGATGGTGGAAATTTCCCATCACCCACATTCCTCAGAAGTTTCTTGGCTGTTAACCAGCCTTTCTGGAGCTTGCCTTGGTGGTACCACAGCTACCTTTTGTGGTGTGTAGATCCAGCATGAAGAGTGGCATGTGAGGGGATGGATAGTCTCTGTGAACACCCAGTGCCCTTTCCAGCTCCCACTGCTGCTTCAGGCAGGATTAGGACTGAGGCCGATGCAAGTGGCCAGGGGCTGAGAGTTTGAAGAGCTTTATCCTTTTACCCCTTCTGATCCTTTTGGCAGATCATCAGTCACGCATGAATTCACCTTGCTGAAGATCTTCTCCCCTGTGGTTAGAGGGGCAATGCTGTGGCTTTTACTTTGTTTTGTCAGGTTTTCTTCAAGATGTGGCAGGGTATATCACTTGTGGATTGTTCCTGCTTGTCCTGGCAGGTCTGCTTCCAAGACCTGCTTCTTCTGCACACTAAGCACTGGCAATTTCTGCCATTTAATGCATCCTGAGATTCCAGCCAGGGGCTTTTCCCTTTTTTTTTCACCAGCCATTTTATAGCATGGGGAGTGAATGGTTCATTCTGGGCAGTTCTTCTCCATGTGAACACTCCCTTTCCTACTCTCTCAGCCCCATTCCTTTAGTGATAGCTGTAGAGTGTGAGGCTTTCTCTTACCACTGTAGAAGTTCATCTGGAGTCTACTGGACCCCACAGTCCTTAGGTTTCTGATGGACTTGATTCCTCAGTGGGATAAACACTGTTGAGAAGGGTGCTCATGAACTTTCCCAGCAGATCCCAGAATTTGTGCCTCTCTTTCTTTGGCTTAGAAAGGTGTGATCCTCATCAGCCAAACAGTGGAAGACTTGGGCACGTGTGGCTAATTTCCATGAACTATCTGCTTTGAAAAGCATTTCCCTTTTGCTTCAGGCTAAGTCCTAGAGAAATTATGAGAAGCATAGTAATTTTCATTGAGCCAAAGGGTTAATTATCTCTTAGCATCCTAAATACTTGTGCTTCTAGGGTTAGAGTGAGAAAGGCTTTTTCATTTTACCTGCATAGGTTCAGCCCCTTTTGCAGGTTTCCTCTATTGTCTTCTTCCACCCCAGGAAGGCAGAGGATGATTTTTGTCTTCATGCAGCATCCTTCTAGAAGAACCCAGGGTGGCAGGTAGACCTGTTATGAGACGGCACACGCCCAGTGTTGCGTGACTTCAGTGCAGTGCTGCCCAGTCTCTCTGCTCAGTGCATCTGCTGTGTGGCTACCTGGATGGGCTTCTGTGTACCTTGGCAAATGGCTGTGTCATTTGCAAAGTGTTCAGCTCTGATGCAGTTTTCTACGGGACAAACAGTACTATATCTGTCATCTGACCAGGGGAGTTCTCAGCTCTTTTACCAGGTTGCATTGACTGGATGACTGCTTGGATCAATCACTGCTATAATATCTTCTGGGACTCTTTGCTGAAGTTTATTTCAGATTTGCTTGTTCCTGCTCAAAGTTTGTTAGGAGGCAAGGTCTGGAAGATCTGTGGTTTACTTCTTCCCCCTGTGAATAACTTTTTGTAATTGTGCTGACAGCTTGGCTGGATGTAAGGGTTGGATTGCCAAGTTAAAACAAACTGGTAGATAGAGGGTAAAGAGGACTCTTCAGGCCCACAGAAAGTTAAAGATACTAATTTAAAGGACTGGCATTCAATAAAGCCAGGAGCATTCCTATTCACTACCAAGGGAATAGTAATACCAAGGGAATAATAGTTGCTGATAAGTTCCAAAGTAGCTCCTTATGCAGGAATCTCACCCATCCTGTGCCATTCAGGTTAAAGTCTGGGACATCCCCAAGCACTTGCTAACAAGAAACATTACCACTGCGAAGAAGGAACTTCTTGGGCATGTTCGAAGAGTGGGCCTCATTGAATGGCATCCCACTGCTAATAACATCCTCTTCAGCTCTGGCTATGACTACAAGGTGGGTCTGTTCTCCGTGGAGCTCTCCTCCTGGCACAGTCTGTTTGGCAGGGTGTTTTGAAATTGGTTTTAAATTCAAGCTGTAAGGTAATACTAAAGATTTCAGAAGCCTTCTTCAGGGGGAAATTCCATGGTGACCCCAAAGGGAAAAGGACATTGCTACAAGTTCAAAAGGACTCGCTAATTTTTCAGTCATCTGATGAACTTCAGTCTAATCTGCCCTTCTCCTTTACTGGATTGGATACAATATACAATGCCATGCACATTTGTTTGGCTTCATCTTATGCTAGTGCAAATATTTGCACTGATGCTGGCGATTTTTATATATAAAATGTGGTTGCAAAGGAAATTAGAATATTGGATGTTCTGAGGAGACACTCTATCCCTTATATATTGCTCTAAGTATCAGAAATGATTTTAAATGCTGGAAAACAACCACTTATGATGGTAAAACCTATACATGTAGAGAAGAGAGGAAGAATTGGATAGGGTACATGAAGTCCCCAGTTGGTCAGGCAGCAAAGGGCTGATTTTTTTGTTCTTTTGCTACAGATAATGGTCTGGAACCTTGACTCCAATGAGCCTGTCATCTCGAAGCCGGTGAAGATCCTTGATGCTCACAAAGATGTGGTCCTCTCCATGTCGTTCAACACAGATGGGAGTCTCCTTGCCACAGCCTGCAAGGACAGAAAGATACGTCTGATAGACCCTCGTTCAGGAGAAGTCCTACAAGTAGGTTGGGTTTGGAGGTTCATGGTCCAGCTGATCTCACCCCTTGGAGTGTTTCCTCTTCTGTGTAGATTCATTGCATTAAAGAAGATGCATCTGTGCCCCACATTTTGCCCAAGGCATCAGGTGGTGCTATTGCCTTCTACTTTTCATGGAACGCTTGCTGTCATTGTTGAAAACAGGGTTTCTGCATCTTGCTACCATGCTCCTTACTTGTTGAAACCCTTCTTGAAGTGCATTGTTTTCATAGCTCCCTCCTGCAGTCCTCTGTGAGATGTCTTGGGAGGGTTTGTAGAGATCAGGTAGACAGGTGGATGCAAGTGTACATTTGTCCCACTGACAGGGTTGGTTTTGTTTCCTGTACTTTGTATCTGTTGGTAAGGTGAAGCTGACTGTGTTTTGTAGGTATCTGCATGGATCTGTGTACACAGAAAGTCCTGCCTACAACTAATAGGGATTCACCTCTTGCAAATATGTGAATCACTAGTTAGAGAGATTTATTGGGCTTTTGGGAACGGTCCTGAAGAGTTTAGGCCACCTTTCTTGGATCCCTGTGAAATCCCGCTCGCTGTGGTTCTGCCAGGCTGACCAGATCCTTGAGCAGATGTGATTGAATCAGAGGTCTCACGTAACTTGAAATGTAGCTATGCAGTAGGTGCTCTGTCTCTTACTCACACAGTGTCCTTTCTCTTCCCATAGGAAGCCAGCTATAAGTCTCACAGAGTCAATAAAGTCTTGTTCCTTGGAAACGTGAAAAAGCTGTTCTCTACTGGAACATCTCGGTGGAATAATAGGCAAATTGCATTATGGGATCAAGTGAGTTGGACCAGCAATCTTTACCATACCAGCTCCAGTTTTCTCTCTTTTATTGTCACTTTAACTTTTCCACTTGCCAAATACCCAACAATTGATTTATAACAGCAACTGAGAAGTGATCTGTCAAATTCTTAATGGGTGGTAGGTCTTACTGCTATGACACTGTTAACTGAGTATGAGTTTCTGAAGAAGCTCTCAAAGCTTTCAACATAAAAATCCACCAGAACAAAGAGAATGCTGTGCCCACTACAGGAAGAAATAATTCGAAGGACCTTTGGGTGGTCACTGCAGTTCTGACTTAAAAGCAGCTCCTACTGGTCTTACTGGGAAATTGTTACCAGTACTGTAAAGAGAAATGAGCTCTAGACACAGCCTACTCAGGTGAAGCCCTCAGTGGAGAAAAAGATGTGGGGTGTTTTTGATTTCTGATGATTCCTGACAGTAGAGTATCGAGATAGCACTTAGTGGTCACTTCCAAGACATGATCTCCTATCCTGACAGCTGCTAGCATTATAAACCCCTGCTCTCCTCTACCTCTCTCATATGCAGTGAGATGCTTTTCCTTTGTCAGCATCTCATTTTGTCCCTCCAGGTCAACCACCTTGCAGCACAATCTTTTTTGTCTTTGTTGTGCTGTCACCCTTTGTACCAGATAAAACTGGCAGACCAGGTCTATGATTTGGCATTTGGCTATGTTTGGACATGGCTTCTTTGAGTATGTGAGAGGCAAAGCACCGTGCTGCTGTCTGAAGGCTTTCCACAAAGCTGAGCAGTGCTCTGACACACCGTGGGTCTCACACCAGGGTTTCACTGCCTTCAGAGCTGCTGGAGGAGCTGGTGGCACTTACTTAGTCTGAGAACACAGTGGGAAGATCTGTTACGCCAGGTATGTGCAGCCTCCTTAGGGACAGGCATTGGCACAGGACCTGCCCAGCAAGCATATTTCTGAGGTCCATGTCCACCCATATAAACAGAAGCTCTGGATTTCTGGAGCCTGCAGCTGGGCAGTTATGCAGGACCAAATATGTATTAGCCCTATGCTAAATATATATTTATGTGACAGTAACCACAGTGGCAGCCATGGGACGCCACACTCTGTCCCATTAGTCCTCCCAACATTGCTCTCTTCAGCAACATAGGGATAGCTTTGTATAAGACATGCCAGCCTTGTGTATGGAGTGGTGTGCTATGTCCTCCTGCGGGGCTTAACCTGCAAAAGGCCAATGGGAGCTCTTGCTCTTGCAGTGGGCACCTTCCCACTGTGCAATGTGGAGACTGCTTGGCTGATGCAGACTGTCCTTATGGTGGGTGGTGCAGTATTGTGGAGGTATTGCCTTGACTAGGGGTCGTGATGGAACGTGAGTAATTCAGTGTGTGATGCAGACATGCCCTGAAGGCCCCTCCATGTCCCTGAGTCTGGTGGTCTGCACAGAGTCAGACAGTATTTCTTATCATACTCACCCCTGAAAAGTCCTCAGGTGCCTGAGGTGTTCTAGTGGTAGGAACTGATGTGCTAAAGTGCACTCATTTCCCACCCATAGAGCTTTGAAGAAGTCTGTGCATGGCCCTCTGCTCAGGGCAGCTGGCCATTGCCTAGGATCATTATAGAGCTGTGCTCGCATGCCACTGCCAGGTGGGGTTCAGGTAAGGTCTCCCTCACTTGAGGTGATCGCAGCTATCTGTTTTTCCTGTGTCCTGCCCAGAATGACCTTTCTGTGCCTTTACTGGAGGAGGATCTGGATGGCTCCTCAGGACTCCTGTTTCCCTTCTACGACTCAGACACATGCATGCTTTATGTGGTGGGAAAGGTAAGCGCTTTCCATGGCAGCAAATGCTGGCCTGTCTGATTCTTCTCCTGGCCTGTGTTGTGTCAGGCTGAAGTCAAAGATGCTCCTGAAGCACCTTAACCTAAGGATTTGGGCTGATGGGATGGGGCTTGAGGGTGCTGCAGCATCAGCCCATGTTTGCCACTGCAGATGTACCACATTCACCACGGGCAGGTACACTGCAGAGCCCTAATCTTGCCACACAGGAATTTGGGGGTAAATATTTGGTTCATTCTTGACCCTGCATGGCTTCTGGGGCCAGGCATTATTCTCAGACCCCCATGCTAAACAGCAGAGCCTAGCTTACATTCATTTTCTTTGCCTTTAGGGTGATGGAAATATACGGTACTATGAGATAAGCTCTGAGAAACCATACCTGAACTACCTGATGGAATATCGCTCTCATTTACCACAGAAGGGAATTGGTGAGTGGCAATTTATGTCTAATGTTACAAGAGGATGGTGGCTTCTTTGTTTTAGAGGCTGTCAGAGTCCAGGACTATGCAAAATATCAGTTAGAAAAGAGAGCGGGTCAGATTCCAGTCTCCACCCAGGTTTACAGGTGCACGACAGTTGGCTTGGCCCAGCTAACTGATATATCACAGGTGGTACAGGGTCACAGCTTGGAGGGGTCCCTTCTGACCAGCAGAGCATGGACTGGGCAACTCTACCAGTCACTGCTGTGTCCCCTCCCACATACCTGATCAAGGTGAAAGGGAGGATAATCTGGATTTAAAGGTGGAGGATGCTCCTTCCCCTTTGTGAATCTGCTCCAAGATTTTTGATATTGAACTCTGTTGACATTGTTTGCACTCTGGGATTTCTCTGGTAATGGGTGTTCCACATCTTAATGCCTTCACTCTTATCACTTGCTTACCTTCTCCTGTACTGGCACTTCCCATTTAGAGATAGACCTGCTGTGATTAGGTCACCTCTCCTCCACTGGAGACCCTTGCTTATTAACCTATCCCACTGTACCCGCTGTTTAACTCATTCAAGCTACAGAATTTGGCTTTCAGCCCTCAGATCCTGTTGGCAGCCCTTTCTTGAACCTTCTCCAGTTTACCCTGTAAGCCAATTCCTCTATAGACTGACAGGTTTTTAGGACCATTTGCCACCCTCCGTACTCCCTGTGGACACTCCCGTTCTTCCAGGACATTGGTACAGATATTTAGCAGCACTAGATGTTGTGCCACCGGGTCTCCTTCAAAAAACTGTTATTGGAAGGGAATAAATTATTTAAAACTTAACTGGAAGATCTCTCTGTTATTCAGCTTTTGTAATCCTTCCAATGTACAATATTCTGATTTTATGTTGTCGTGGTCTCTTTAAAAATCATTGCATGAAGAGGAAGTGTACACAAGGCTTGAGTGAATCAAATCTACTTTCCAAACCTGATCTGTTCTGCTGATCAAACATACAGCTAAGGTTATTGCACAAAAGCTTCTTTCCCAATATTGCTGAAACAAAATACAATGTAGAGGAGTGGAGTTTAGATTTGCATTTAGATGAATGCACAATGTAAGGAGCAACAGTCCTTTACATAGAATCTACTGTTTAATGAAGTAATTTGGTATTAGTAGAGAACAAAGCTTCTGTGGGACACTCTACAAGGAGAGGCAATCTCTTTTCTTAAGGGAGTTGACATGGTTGTAGGCTTTGGACTGTAAGACACTCATGGGAGAGAAATCCACTGAGGTTACCAGGTACTTGGAGACCTTGTGTGGCTTAGCCAGTCCCTGAGACACAAATGGTGCTGTCTGACAGGGTAGATGTTCACACCCTTCTCATACTCCATTCTGCTTTGGGATAGTGCTGGGGGGAGGATACTGCGATGGAAGAGCTTTCAGCCTGACCCATATAGCTGTTCTCGTGTTGTTTAGGTGTCCTGAAATCCCTTCCTGGTGATCCTGATAGTCAAATTCTGTGTCATCACCTGCCAGTTCTGCTCAGTTCTGGTCACTCTTTTTGCACCTTATGAGAATGAATAAGGAACAGGAGGCTTAGCACAGAAACCACAGAGCCTGTCTGTAACTCCATAGTCTGACAGAAAAAAAATTATTTAGTCTTGTCATTTGACTCGCTGAGCCAGTTTTGGGTGCAGATTTCAGACCATGCTGCTGTGGAGCTGATGCTGTTACTCCTTTTGTTGTTTGGTGACCCTTTTGCCATGCGGATGACATTAACTTTCCTAAGGAGATTTATACCCTGTTTGTTTCATGCTATCCCATCAGGAGTGATGCCAAAGAGAGGCCTTGAAGTGTCAGCTTGTGAGATTTTCCGTTTCTACAAACTGATCCCAACTAAAAGCCTGATTGAGCCCATCTCCATGATTGTGCCTCGACGGGTAAGTTAATGTCAGGTCACGTTCATGTCTGGGACAACTGTCAGTGAAAAAGAGGACACTGCCTCCTCTCTGTGACTCTCAGGGGCTGGAGAGTAGGTCGAACAAGAGATTCTGTCTCTCCTGGTCTGAGGGACAAAGCTGGCCAGCTTGTGGGGCAGCCCTGCCAACAAACCCTGGCTGGGTAAATCAAGAGTTAGGTCTTTGTGTAATGGCTAACTTTCTACAACATGCTCACTGATCTGTTCTGCTTGGGTGGAACAAGGGGTCTCTCTGAGTGTGAGGTCAACTAGCTGGCTGTGAACTTCCTCTGTTGGTGGCATCTGTTTGGCTTAATGACAAAGGAGAGAGCAGGGTTGGGGATGACATTGGGTGACATGGACATCTTATAGAAGGAAGAATGACCCTGGGAAAAAGGGAATGATGAATTCCCAGGTGTCTACCCAGTGGGTGCAAGTGTGTTACAGACAGTTGTTCTGCAGCGTGTAAGATGTGGCCCATTACTGAGAGTGGTGTAGGACTAAGTTTCGGAGCTGGTATGGCTAGACAATGACCTAGGTCATGAGTCTGTAGCTAGCCAAGGTAGGTCCTATGTGAATGTGTAAGCAAAGGTACTTTGTAAATGTAGGCACTGTGCCCCGTACTTCCAGAAATATTGGAAGGTATGAGTGCCTTGAATTCAGAGAGCCAGCAGACCTAATGCTCACTCCTGCTACCAATCAGTCATGTTCCTCCAACACAATCTCCTTGGCCAATTTCTGTCAGCTGATCATCAGCTGATGATTTGTGACTTGTGTCCATCTTTCGTATCCACTTCTTCGTCCTCACTCCACTGAGTTCATGAGTATTGGGTTAGTCTGTGTCACCAACCTCCCCCAGTCTGTTGTCTGGATGTGTAAAGGCAGGAGCTAAAATAACCCTTCAGAGGCAATTCTTCTGAGTTGGGGTGAGGAGGAGAGAGGCTCAGGGCAGGTGAGATTTTATGTTCATGTGGGTGAGTGCTCGTGACACTCCCTGTTCTGAGGTGGAACAAACGTTTTTCTCCACCACAATCCAGAATGGTCCCTCTAAGCCAAAACCTCACTGACACAGTGACTCTGGACTTGTGCTTGCTTGCAGTCGGAGTCATACCAGGAAGACATCTACCCCTTGACCACAGGAGCCCAGCCAGCACTGACAGCACAAGAGTGGCTGAATGGAGTTAACAAAGGTCAGAACATGGAGAGCTCCCCAGCCCTTCAGCTCCCCAGGGCTTGGGTAAGCTGCCACTGGCTCTCTGGCCTGTAAACTGCCAGAGAAAGAGGAATGGAGGAGAAGGAGAAACATAGCAAATATGGCTGTAAGATAAAATAATCTGGTGGCTAGAATATTCACTGCTGTGAACTCTGGAGGCTACTCCAGTCAAGCGCCTCCATGCTTATCCCTGCAGGTTGTTTGAATGAATTGCTTACAGCTTATTTCCGAGTGTGATTTGTGAGTGCTAACCTGTCACCTGCCTCCCTCTCTAGGGCCTCTCTTGGTATCCTTGAGACCAGGCTCTGGAGCTGTGGATTGCTTACCACAGTTTCTTGAGCCAGAGCCACTCATGAAAACATCTGACCTGAGCCAGCAGCAGGGTCAGGGAGGAAGGATGCCACTGGAGAACATGCAGAAGACAATGGAGATTGAAGACAGCAGAAAACAGCTGAAAGTGGAGAAGAAATTGCCAAAAAAAGAGAATATGTGCCTCTCCAATGGCTTTGATGTATTTGAGTGTCCACCGCCAAAAACTGAAAATGAGGTGTGAATGTCTGGGGTGAAGGGTTGGGCTGATGGGGGAGGCAGGGAGGGGGGGAAGGCCAGAGTCATCTGGCAAAAGGTGACAGAATCGGGCAAGGGTTTATTTTGCAGACCTGGGCCAGTGCGAGCTTTTCATTCTTCCATGGGGGCAGCAGCTCTGCGTGCCCTGGCTGCCATATGGGAAGCAGAAACGTGTTCCAGCAGCGCCCCAGATGAGGGGGTCTGGAAAGGAGGGAGCAGGCAGTATTCCTGCTTCTTTGGCATTCTTGTGGCATGGGCCTGCCTGGTGGCAGGCTGGGGACAAGGAGGTCCTTGTGACCTCCAGGTTCTGGAGAAGAGAAGGGGGTTTATGCAGTGTAAACCTTCTGCGCTCAGGGAGCCCAGCGAGGCAGCAGGGGTGCCTGTGGAAGGACTGGGTGTCCCTGCTCTCTTGGCCCAAGGCACATCCGTGTAGTCTTAAGCACCTAACTGTATTGTGCACCTTGACATGGGAAAGGAGCTGGGTCTGCCCCTGCCTCAGCAGCTCACTGCTGGGGGACAACTTGGCAATGCAGTGCCACGGAGGCTGGCTGCTGGCTGCAGCCTGCTCCTGGGAATGGCTTCAGAAAAGGTCTTGGCAGCTCCGTGATCTGTCTTTGGCCATGGCCAACCCCCTCCGTGTATAGTAATCAAAGCTTGTACAGTGGTAGATCTCTGTGGTGATTTGCCAGGCCCCCATCACTGGCAGTTCAGGGGCATTTTCAAGTACGTGCAGCTTGTTTGCTTTTAGGAACCTTGGAAGGATTTTCTTCCCATAGCTGTACTCAGGTCCCCTTTTTGGCTCTGCAAGACTTTTGGCATCTGCAGCTTGATGAGGCAGGAATTTCCACAGCTGAATTTCCCTGTGGTGTGAAAAAGGATATTATTCTGCATGCTTCTGAGCTGGCGTTCCAAGGTTACAGAAGCAGCCCTTGCAGAGCTGTATGCTCTGCTGCATGCACAGTGAAAGGCCATGCTAGTCCCAACTGGAGATGATAGAGCATGCTCAACAGGAAAAAAGAGGAGATGTAAGTGGACTTGCCCAAGGTCAGAATAGGAGATGTGGCAGATCCAGGAATTTAGACTCCAAATACTCTCTGTGTCTAGGCTCTCTTTGAATGATCAGTGGCATGAAGGTTATTTTTTCTGATCTTTTCCACTGAATTAAGCAGATATAGCATTACTAAATGGTGCTGAGAAACACCTGCACTCATAGCCCAGGCTAGTGGACATCAGGAGCACTGCTCATGCTCAAGTCTGTTGGCTGAAGGGCTCCTCCTTAGATGCGGTTCTCTCAGAAGTGATGTGACAGGACTGGTGGCAATTGCCAGGTTAAGCGTGCATTTTCTTAGTGTAAAGGAATTAAAATGTGACTTTTCTTACAGCTTTTGCAGATGTTTTACCGGCAACAGGAAGAAATCCGTAGACTACGTGAGTTGGTAAACCAGAGAGATGTCCAAATTAAACAGCTGGAGCTGAAGCTCAGAAATCTCTGCATGAACACAGGCAGTTACTGAGGGTGCTGGCCTGCAGCTCTTTCCACCCCTGGCAGCTGGAGCAGACAACTCTTCATAGGGTTTTTGCTGGGGGAAAAATTGATGCTTCAGGCAGCATGGACTTCCCTGGCTTGTGGTGGTCACATTTCCTTAATTGTCACCAGACAGTTATTGATGGACTTGCTGCACTTCTTCAGGCTCCCCTTGCTTGCCTGCTCACTTGTGTCAGAAGCTCGTGCATTAATGCTAGTGAGAGACTTCGGAAAATTTTGCTCTTCTGGTCCTGGAGAGGCCACCTGGTAAACATGAGGACTTCCCCTCCACTTGACATGGGGATGGGACACTGAAGGCAGCTATCAGCTTCTTTTCCCACCCCTAGACCCAGCAGTGTGGCTCCTGTGGCTGCTGGCCTCCTGCCCTGGGAGACAACTCTGCATCTGAGCTCCAGAAGCACCTCTAGCTCCAAAGTGATCCTCGTGCACCCCTCTTGCCTCACAGCTCGGCCCTGCAGCCGGGTGGCTAGGCAAAGCCGTGGCTGCCCTGACCTGGTGCTGGGGATAATCCCATTCTGAGCGGGAGACTGCACTGGGGCTGCCAAGGGCCAGCACTTTTGTGATAGGTAAAGGAGAGTTGGTGTTTGGAGGTCCTACTTTAAAGGGGTGGTGGTGTGGGCTGGTTCTCACCAGAGAATCTGCAGGTACAGCAGAGGTCTCAGTCCTTTGAGTCAACGGCCTTCTTTCCCTCCTTCTGCCAAAGACCGGCCACAGTCAGCCGAGGCTGTGGTCCTGTGGTGCTCATCAGACAAACGAGGACAACATTTAAAGCTTCACAGCATTTCCAAGAAGGGTTAAGAGGACAAGGGGGCAGTTGGACCCCCAACCCACTGCAGACCTTTCAGCAATGGTGCTAGAAGTGTAGTGACAACCACAGGAGGGTCACAGATAAGACCATGGCCAGTCACAAACAGCCCTCCCTGCTTGCTGGAGTATTGCTTGTCCTTGTGCCCACAGGTGCAGCTTCCTTAGCTTCCAGGTGCCAGCGCCTTGTCCCATGCCTGCAGCCACCTACAGCTGCAGGCTCCCTCTCCCCAGCTGTGTTGCTCAGCCTCCTGCATCTTCCAGGTCTCCCCAGGCCCTGCAACCACACTCATCTGTGCCCTCCAGCACCAGCTCTGTAGCTCTCTGCCTTCCATGGCTCTTTGCTTAGGGCAAGGGCAGCCACATCCAAGGTCCCATCCTTGGTTTCATGGCTGGCACCTGTGGCAAGCTTTATGCAGCCTGCCCACAACATGCAGAGCTGGGCCAGCACCAGCAGGGAGGGAGTGCACAGACCTGCCTGCCTCCTCGGAGCCTGGGGGTCTCCTCTCACTTGTTCCCACGGTGTGGGGCGAGAGAGGCACTGAGGGTTGCCCCGGGGTCTGAGCACCGCTGCTGCACCAGAGGGGAGATGTTTTTTCCTTGCTGCAAATGCAGAGCTTATGGAGATATCTTAAACCCAAGCAGAGCAAGTGCCCGCTGTTTAGCCTGTAACCGTGCACCTCTGCCGTGACACGTGTAGGATTGAATACTATGCCCTGCTAGTTCCCTGAAGCCTGATGATTTCCCAGAGTCATAAACAAACAAGCAAACAAATCTCCGTAGTCAGAAATTCCCACGAACAGGACTCCTTAGCAAGCGGACTAAAGGCTGTGCACTGCCTGTGCTCATGTGAGATGCCCCTCTGGTTATCTCTGAATGCAACACCCAGCAGGGAGCTCACGGGCACTAAATACTCTTATATGAGAATCACACGACTTCTGCACCCCTTTTGTTCTGCTGCAAAGATTTCACCCAGCTTTCAAAAATATCTCATTTCTAAATGGCAACAACAGATACGGGTGCTAAAAAGTCACAAATCTTGTTTCTGCAGCATTCCAGAGAGTGGGTAGTTATTCATGTTCTTAAGGAAGAGTCCTTTAGCATCAGTCACATATTTAACACTGCTCTTTTTGTGAAAAATAATATGTTAATTACAAAGTGGTTCAAACAAACTTCAGCTTGTTTCAGATTCTCTAGAATGGGCTTTCCTGTGCCCTGGGAACACTCTGCAGCATGCAGTTACGTGCGCAAGCAGCTCACCCCGGATACAGAGCTTTAATCCGAACACATGAATCTTACACCAGAAGCGGTCAGGCTTACTCACCAAAGAGAAGAGCTACATAAGAAACCGAGAAGCTCACAGTTTTTCAGCCATGTCAAACAGGCCTGACAATTTCAAAGCCATTTTCATGGAGTGTAGCCCCAGGGATGTGACATTCTGGTTTTCAAGCTATCATTAGCAGAAGGGAAAGCACTTGACACAGCCTCAGCAGTCCAGGGGATACGACACTTTCCTTGTCACTGTATGTGTTTTATGTGCTAGGCTTTTTTTGCTTATTTTTTCATACAGAATAAATTATTTAAATTATTTCCAAGTTAAAGTAATTTTTCCAGTGGATTTTTAAATCCTCTTGAAAATTGTTTCTTTGTTATCCTATCACTGGCCAGCATAGAAAATGGCTGGCCACCATGGTTCTTATCTTAGGGTTGTGTTGATTTCGGCATTTCTGGAAAAGAAGTTGCTTTCATTTAGGCTTTGCTGGCAACATTTGATAAGGCAAGACTATTTAATCGAAACTTTTTTAGACAGTATGCCTGTAAAGCATAGACTGTGAAATGTATTTCAATTCGGAGCTTAAATGCAACCATAAATCTTTCACCCAGAGAAAAAAAGTGGAGGAAATGGAGTTATGTGTTAATGAACTGTGCCTAAATAGACTTAAGTGATCATTTGAAGAGTTTCTAAAATCCTAGCAGCTTTGTAAAAAACTGTAAAACATGGGGATAAAAACCAAATTTGTGCAATGAAAAGCAAATGTAACTCAATAATAAATATATTTAGAGTTTTACTTTTTGATACATGCAAGGTTGTTGGTTTCTTACTGTATGGTTGAAGCAACTAAAAATTAAGCTGAATCGAGGTCAGGAAGGAGTATCTATCACCTGCTGTCTCTTTTGCTTGCATGAAGGTTGTACACATGCACATGGGCCTGTTGAACAGGGCGACCAGTTTGTGTAGGCTAACCAGGAAAGAGGGGAGCTTTAGAAAGCAGACACAGTCTCCATAGGAGTATAGTGAATGCTTCAACTTTATTGCAAAGTGCAGGTATACTTACAGAGCAGAGCAGGGTTCACACAACATAAGCAATAATTTCATAGGTGTAACACACTGTCCATACACTTCTCCTCAAATAGCAATTGGATATATACAGCAAAGCCTCACTCATTGGTTACTTTACCCTACTTGCGGTTACTGCTTCTCTATTCTAGCAACTAAGCATTTCCCCTTTAATAGCGTCCTGTACACTGGCTAAGCATTTCCCCTTTAAGAGCATTCCAACCCTATCAGAACCTGATGTCCTTGTTCTGCTAGGAATGTATTCACAATCCCCCCTTCTTTGTTTTTGTGCTAACGAACTCCAGGAATAGCCCTCTTTATCATATCAGTCACACACCTGGATTGTCCACATAGCTCCACAACACATTGTGGCCCTGTTGTTCAAGAAATCCCTCTGCATGGGCCTGCCTTCTGACATCTTTCCCATCTGTCCTTGATGCTACAAAGAAGTGGCCTTTTCAAAGCATTCTGCGTTGCACTGCTGTGTATGTTGTCTTGAGTAAACTGAGCTCTCCTGGATGCATACCCTGTGGTGCGGTTTCTTCACCGTCCTGCCTTGCAGTCCCGGTGCTTCTCTTGTCCAGTACACTCTGACCAGGCCCTTTTTAGATACTCCAAATGAGGAGGGTTTAATGTGTTGTTACCATATTCACTTATTTGACAACATTTGATGTTAGATGGGATTTTGATTTAGCAGAGCGAAGCAGCAATCACCGTACAAACACAATACAGCAGTTGCAATGTCCAGCTGGATCACAATACAAACAAAATTCCTGTTAGTGGTCTCTATACGCTCACCATCATGACACTGGGTATCTCCAGTCACCTGGAAGAAATGCATGGCTTGAAGCCAGCTCAAGCCCGTAGCTCTCTTCAATGTTCATTTTGTTGGTTGCTCAGTTTTTATGCTTTATGTTGGGCTGAGCCCAATCCTGGGCTGGTCTGGCTGGCTCAGGAAGACACTCACACCTTTTGATTAACTCAGGCCACCTACACAACCCGTTGATCACTCAACTGATATGGCAATTCATCTGAAAAAAAAAGCCACCCTCCTGTCCCTTTTCCACTGAGATAAGTTGAGCTTTCTTTACAACATCTGTGGACGCTCCTTGTATTCTTCCCTGATCATCATGAGTGTGCCCACCTCCTCTGAGCCTCCTTCCACTATAGTGGTTTGTTGATCAGTCACAGCTTTTGGCATGGAAATGTTCACAGCTGCATTCAGGATGTAAATTTTGTTTGATAAAACATATTTTAGGTGTGTGTTAGCGAAAAAAGGTGGAAATTGCTGGAGAAAGTGTGCTGGGAACTTAGTGCAGCAGCCATGCAACCAGGGCACTCTGACCTGACCTTCCTGTCTCCTAAGTGACCTTGTGCTGGGAAGGGTGGCCGGGCAGGGGCTGCCCCGGGGTGGTCCCAGGTCACTGTGTCCCTCCTTCTGTGCTGACACAGGCTCACTGCTCTGAGTAGAGCCTGGGGAAACTGAGCCACAAAGACAGAGAGAAACACAGCCCTGCAGTCTTACTTGCCTCATGGATTTAGAGCCACAACACATTGCATCTTCACCCTCTGCCCGCAAGCCAGCTGCCAACTGCAGAATAAACTCCACTCAAACCTACACAATAATTATCATTCACCTTTCGTTTCCCACCCTGGGGGTCTGTACTGTTGCTGTGCCCAAGGAGTTGTGAGTAGAAGCGAGCACGGAGCTGATGCCCCTTGTTCACCCTGCAGGGAGAAGGAGCAGGTCACTTTTGTTGGTGGGCTGGCCAGCATCACCCCTGGCAGCAGGGCAGCTGCAAGCTGCAGGGGGGCAGGGGGGCGAA